GGGGAGGCTTGCCCTGAAATCTTTCTCCAGGTGGAAAATGGGGAAGGCTTTGTATACACTCGGGCTTTGTCTAGAATGGGCCCTTTTACACCCATAAAGACTTCAGGGGCATTTTGGGGTTTCTGCCCGTTTGTGCTGTCCTGCTTTCGCAGCAGCACTAAAGTATTTCATTGAAAGCCAAGGTCTCTACATCAGAATGAGTTAGTGGCATCAGTGGTCTTTATTTTATTTTGGTTTGGTTTTTTTACCCTCAAATCCCGTTGAGCTGTAGGAAAGCTTCCCCCTCCTCCCCTCCCCTCAAAAAAGGAAACGTCAAAGTATGTAATATGAAATTAAATGTGGCACTGGATATGTTCTGGCAAGTCATGGTAGTAAACTGAAGTTCTGAACACAACTAGATGCAAGAGCCCATGAACAGCAATGATTCAAAAAAATCCAGTACAATGATCTAGTTTAAGTCAAGGAAACTCTGAAAATTAGGCCCTAAGGATTATTAGTCTTCTCTCCTATAATAGATGCTTCTGAACTCTGCTTATTGAAAGAAATAAATTTTAATTTAGGCATTCTGCACTTTCAGAGTGTTTATATGACAGAGCTGAAACCAGGTGAGGAATTTGTATGTTGTGTGAAGGTCTCAGTGGACACTGTGAACCATGGAGACGAAGGTATTTTAAAATTCCTGTCAGTGTCTGGAAAATCCACTGTAGTATTTGTAAGTTTAAATTATTTTGATGGTTAGAAACGTCTGCTTCCTTTGAACTGTTCTTTTCAGCTTAATTTAAAAATATATAGAAACCATGGGGAGGAAAATCAGCTTCTCTATGGCAAGATTAGATAAAGTGGCATTTATAACAGTCCCATGTCTGTGACCAAAGCTGCTGCGAGATTTGATTTTTTAGCTTGGAGGTGTTTTCCTTCTGGTCCTCACTCCCACCTCAAAAAACCCCCCAAAAACAAAAACGGAACAACAACCCCCCGAATTCAATGAGAGCACAGGTTAAGAGCAGCCAGCAGTAAAACCCCGAGTCCCTCCGGCAGCGGGGTGCAGTTCTCTTGTGCAGCAGAGGATGGCCTTGTTGGGCAGCACTGCAGGTTTCTTGCTGTCCCCGCCATGCCGCCTGCCTCAGTCCTGTATTCATGGCACAAATGGGACCGAGCCCTTGGTACCCCAGCACGCGAGGAGTCACGTTATTTGTGACAGGCACCTCTCCCTGATCAGCCTCCTCGGGACAGCAGCCGAGCGCTGCCCAGCATCCCTGCCGCTACCCCAGCTCACCTCCCTCTGCTGAAATTTGTAGGAAACAAAGTGTGGTCTCTGGCCTCCTTCAACTCTGCGGATTTTCAGTCAAATTGCAGCTGTCATGGTTTGCATTTGCTGTGGTGCTTTTCCTCAGATAAATTTAGCTCTAAAATAAAGCTCTAAATCCCATACCCCAAGGCGTGGACAATTCGAACTGTTTGTTGTTCAGTGAAAATTGCTGAAATATAGCTCTGTGTGTGCATACACACAGAGGCAAACAAATATATTCATAATAAAAACCACATACAAGTAGGCAGGGTTTAGCTGAAAAAATGTGACAGAAGTTGCAATAGCAATGCCAAATGATGCTCCCTGTTTGAATGCAGTATTACAAAGAAAGACCAGTTTGAAATTGGATTTGATTCTGGACACAGGAGAGGAGGGTAATTTGTAACATGTTGTATTATTAACCCAAACTAAACCAAGAGGCAACAGAATTAATTAATTGGCATATACTTCAACTTTTGTTTAAAATGAATGGAATACTGGAAAATAGCTCATTTACTTGTGTCCTTTATGTTCTCCAAGCTTTCCTGGGACTATGTGTATATATATGTATGTATATATTTATATATTTTTTTTCATTCCTGGGCTTGATTGATTGGTGGTGACAGATGCGATTTGTGTTCTCCACGTCTATTAAGCACTTCTATTATTTATATATAATATTTGTTACCTTCAGAATCAGTTGAAAGCTAAACACAGGAAGAACTATTTCAGTACGTATGTACCTCCTTAAATTTGGGCCTGCGTACACCCATAAAAATTAAGTATTTTCAGGACCTTATAAAAGCAGTGAGATGAGACAGTGTTAAATACTGTGGTTCATCCTGGAAAGTCTATGATTACCCTTTATTTTTCAGTAAATACTGTTCTACTGCCCTTCACTCCCACCCCCTTAACAAGTTTAGCATCCACCCATTCCCTTTGTTTCTGAAGGGTAGTCTTGTGGCATGAGTATGTATCTTGGTGCTTTTTGCAAAGGCGTATATGCTCTGCAGTCCTTGTGTCCCTTTTGGAGAGCAGGCAGTTATTCATGTTGTAGCTAGGTCTCATTAATTATTTGCTGTCTATGTAAAGCACTCTCCAATTACACCACGAGGTACCTGTTATTAAGCTGCATTCATCTTTACTTTCATTGTGCTTTTTCTGTAGCAGTTTCCTTTGCATCCTTCAGAGTTGCCATTTTGTTCCTTGGTGCCTGATGTTTTACAAGCCCCTGTCCTGATTTTTCCCAAGCATATTTGTATCATAAGTGATAGGTACTCCTTGACTTTCTGTTCTTCTCCTTGACCACGTGGCCATAGCTGCAACAGTAAAGAAAGCCAATGGGACATGCATTTTAAGAAAGACACTTTTTTTTGCCTCTATTTTTTTTTTTTCTTTTTAGGGAAATCTTCATTTTCTAAAACATCAGTTGCAATGCTGTCTTTATAAATCTTGTTCTCTTTTCCCATAGGATTTGCAAATAGAACGAGAGAGGACCGTGTATAATATTTCTGGTGGCTGCACAGCCCTTGTGGTGGTGTATTTATTGGGGAAGCTTTACGTGGCAAATGCTGGTGATAGCAGGTGAGTAAGTGTGGTGTCTCCCCACCTCTTCCTTCACCCCAGACTCCCCAGATCTGCTGTTAATCAAGTTCCTTAGTTGCAAACAGTATCACAAGTGGATTCTGTTTCTTGGCTCGACACTTAACGGTTTTCACAGAAATTAATGCAAGTGGCAGTGATAGGTTTCCAGTATCTTGTCAAGTGGTGGTTGCAATCAGAGAGTTTGATGACACTTCTGGCCCTGTGACAGTTTCTGAATGACCTGATGGTTGCAGGGAAGTGGAAAGACACTAAAGACACACAGAAGAGATGTTGGGTGTGTAGTAAAATTGTGTGTTGAACACTGACAAGGTGTCTGCATCTGGAACCAGCTGGACTGGTTCAGTATGAAGTTCTGTGACTCCTGTCCTTAGCCTTAGTCTTGGAAGGCCACCTGGCTATCACATTTTGATATAATTGAAGGTAATAATCTATAAGTAAAAAGCTACTAGTCCTGCAACAGGGAGGAGGAGAGGGAGAGGGGCTCTCACAGGTTAGGATTTTTACTGTGTCCTGTTTTAGCTCATGTACTTGTCCATCAGAACTGAATGCTGTCGTTCAGGAGTTCTTGCTTTGTTGTATTTAGAAGTCAGATGCTTGAAGACTCATGACAAGAAGCTTTTTTTTTTTGTCTTCTGTGTTAGCTACAGCTAGGAGCATACTGGAAATCTCTCACTTGCATTCTTTTCCTCTCTCTCTCACTCTCTGCCATACCACTATCAGAGAGAGATGAAGCTCTTCTTGCAAGACTTTAGACCTTCATGTTTCTTTTAACAGGACTGTGCATAAACAGACCGGGGAGAATAATCCCCTGCATGATACAGACACTGTGTGCTCCCTTAGTTAGCAGCTGAGGAATTAAAGTCTGGAAAGGTACTCAACCACATTGTCTTTAGGTGAAGACTGCTACGGTTATGCACTTGTGTTTGAGGTTTATGCACACACAGTTCATGTTTGCACTGTGTGAGCACAATGTATTTACAGAGACAGTAGTCAACTGCAAAATGCTTTGTAGTTTAAACCTAACATTTTTAGTGCCTCTTGCTGCTTTAAACTGTGTAGTAAGTCAGATAAATCCTTTGTGCATAAACTTTCTATTCTTTTCATGTTGGTGATTGTTCTTAATATGATGAATTTGCTGTTTATATTGCAAATTGCTCACTCAGTTCCTTTTGACAAGTGACATATTTGAATCTTTTTTGCATCAAATGAGTCCTCACAGAGGGTAGATGCAAACATATTTGAGTAGACCACCTATCTAGCACTTTGTAGTTTAAACCTAACATTTTTATTGCAAACATATTTGAGTAGACCACCTATCTAGTCATCAGAACCAGTAGCTGAACTAAATTTTACCTGTTTTGCCATTGAATTACAAATAATCATATTTTCCTGTGCTGTTGTACTTGAAGTACAGTTGAGTCACTTCCACTGGGTTGCCTAAATTGCTTTATTGTCTCTTTAAAGTGTGCTGTGTAAGATTGGCCATGCAGGACCTACCTTTGAGTAGTTGAGATCTGTGTTCTTAAATGACTAGCTGCTTCTAGTTCCCCCAGGACTCCTCCTGCTTCCCAAGAGCAGCCTCAGCTCCATTGCGCAGCCTCTAGCACCCAACAGGAAGGAACTCATTGTCAGTGATCTTGAATTAGCCCAAGTGTCCACTGTAGTTAAAGCCACTGAGTCTTCAGTAAGCTTTGAATGTTCATCAAGCCCATCAAAAACATCTCTTCAGAAGAGCAGGAATTGGAAGGGAAGCCATTGGCAAGGCTGGGTCCTCTTTGAACCAGGACTCAAATTCTTCTACTCATGCCTCGCATCTTGTAGGTAACAAGGTCCCTCCAGATCCAGTATAGTTTGGTTTTGTAATTTCCAAATGGACCTCATGGAAACCTTCCGCATGCTGAGGAGAATTGTCTGGATTCCCAAAATAGGCAACTTCTAGATTTTCATAGCTCAAGAAAATAAAAGCTTTAAAGCATAGAAGATCAGTTCATCTTGACCTGTCTTCCACCAAAGCCCCACTTCCCATGTTTCAGAAAGGGAGAAAAACAGCTATTGCAAAACATCTAAGTTGCTCATCATCACTAAAAGGACATTTTAGGACTAGAAGAGCAGCTCTGATGTTGTCTGCCTGCTGCCAGGGTGCACAATGCATTCCTGTATTTTTAGAAGCCCAGTCACATAGCTGAGAAGCTTTTTTCCTATTAGTTGGAAAAATATGTTGTGCGGTTTCGTGCCTTGCATGGTCAGCTTCGTGGTTTGTACGGATACAGATGAGGGTGGTGAGTAAAACAATAAGGAAACTACTTTAAAAAATATTTCTCAGCTTTTGAGAGGAAGGGTGGGGTTTGTTTTTTCACCCAAGCAGGGGACTTGTGCTTGCTGCTGTTGGAACTAGATGCCAAAACCCTCAGTTGTTCAGTTGAGCTTTAGTTTCTTTGAGTTCACCTACTCGTTTGTGCCTCTTCTCTGTCCTCATTCTCCTTCTCCCCTCTCTGCTCCCCCACTGGAAAAAGCCTACAACTAAATCAAGCTACATTTCCCACAGACAAGAGTCTGTAAGAGGAGGTTTTGTGCTGCAGGGGTGGGAAATAAACATTTTGGATTCACACAAACCTCATTTGAACTGCCTCTGCCCAGAAGAAGGTTAGGTCTCTTAATTCCAGGCAACTTCAAAACAGCAGAAGCTTTTAAAGGTGGGTTTTGAACAGCTTCTGCTGTTACAGGACCAAGGTATGTGCAATAAACTGTTACTGTCACAATGAGACTAAGGAAACGCCAAGTGTGAGACCTGAATAGTAATGTGCTGTGCAGTGCCAGCTATACCTCAGACTTATGTCTGTGGTATTCAGTTTAACCACCAAAGCTTCTCAAATCTAATCATTTCATGCCACGTACCCTGGCAGTGTTGTATAGCAGCTGTCCTTTTGTAGTTGATGTGTAATTACATCATGAAAAGACTTTAATTACCATATTACTAAATTACCAGCCAGCAATCCTTTCAGGTTCAGCCCTAGCTCACTTCTATATGGACTATTAGGCTTCTCTAAGCTGAACACTTTTGGTTAGTGTAAAAGGGAGGAAAAACTGTGCTAATTGTAGGTTTTGTTATGAACTATTATTGAGCTTGATGTTATGGCATCACTAATGTCAATGATATAATTAAACTTCTGCTAACGATGCAATCACAGTTCTGTAATAATTATACGTTAACTGCACATGATACCAGAACCCTGCTAAAATGAGGTGATGTATTCAGAACCTGATAAAAACAACTTGGAGGAAGCCACTTTCATTCTCTAATGGCTTGACTGATCATTCTTGGACTCTGCCATAAAGTTACCTACTTTTATAGCCAAAATTCTTGTCTGAATATTGGCCAAAGATTTTTCTAATATTTCTCTCTGTCTTTCTTCATCTCAGTGGTTAGGACTGTCCGTGCAAGGTTATCTAGTTAGAGACTGATAGCACTGTAGTCAGCTGTCCAATATATAGTGCTTTTATGGTGAGCAGTGGTGCACTGTGCTTTGCTTACCAGTTTGACATATACATTATGGTAACTAGTCCAGGCCCTCTCAATAGCTGGTTTTTTTTTTTTTTAATAAGGAATAGTAAATCTTCTCTGCTCATTCTTTTAAATAGTATTGTTCAATTTTATATTGCTAAAGTGACTTTTACTTCTAAACTGCCATAACACGCCTTGTTAATCTCAGTTCTTTTTAGTTTTATGCTCTTTATTAGGATGTTGTTTTATAGCCAGTGATGAAGCAGTAGTAAAACAGGGACTTAATGTTTTTACTGATTACTGCCCAATTATTGTATAGCCTCATGCAACATAACATTTGCCCAATATCACTACAGTGACTGTAATGCAATATGATCATATTAACTATCTTTGGCACGAGTGTTCTTCTGGCTTTCATGTTGCCTGGCTAAGGACCTGCTTGGAGATTGCAGGCACTGCTGTTCTGTGTTGTGCTTGGAGCCATGTAGGGCAGTTGTGCTTTTATCATTATATGAGAAGCAGAACACCACAAGTTGATTTGACTTTTCCGTAGGCCCTGAAACACTCACTAAATCTGCAAATGGGTTCTTGGGCTTTTTTGATTTATTGGTAGAAGACAGGATCAAAGCAAAAAGCCTGATGTTTCAGAGGCTTCACAGACTTGCAGGGTCACTGGATTTTTTGCTGTGCTTCATCAGCACATCAGCTTCATCTTTTTACTTCCTTGCTTTTGCTCTCCTGTGCTTATGTTTTCAGGGCATGTTCACCCTCTGCTTGAGCGTATGCCCTTATGTCTAGTACGGATTTTCTCCTCCTTTTTGTAAGTGTAGAATTAACACTAAGGCATTTGAGATTGTTAAACGATAGGAGCTTGTTGAGTAAATATTTTTGTGGCACTTCCACCTAGGTGCATGTTAAGCAACTTTATTGGTGCTCCAGGTGCCCACACCTGGGATAGTGTGTTTATAACACTGACTTATCCCAGTTTAATGAAATAGTGAACTGAAAATTGAATTCTATTTTGTTTACTCTTTCAGTTCTTTCTGGATTTGCTGCTTGTGTTTAATCTCCCTACATTTGTACTTCTTCTGTGTCATGGTGCTTGTCAGCTACTTCCCTCATGCATTGTTCTCATCATAAGAAGTCAAATTTTGGGGGATTAATCTGCTTTATGAAGTAAATAAGAGAGGCATGGAAACAGCCACATATCTGCTGACTGGCACTGTAGCTTAAATAGAATTTCTGAGAAGTCAGAATTGATGATTCTGACCCATTTTTGTGGTTCATGGTATCTGACCTCTTCCTCAAGGCAGTCCAGCAGGGTGTTTTTTGCCAGAAGTGCTAACACTGTGTGAGGATGGAAACCAAAAAATGTTGTAGTATATTACTATTGCAGAGCTAGCTTGCTTTACTCTTTGGTTTATGGTATTTTTATTTTTTTTAAATCAGATTTTTCTTAACTACCCATCTTCTAATC